ACCTATCAAAAGAGGACTGGATTTAGAAATGTGGTACATATATACAATGGAACATTATGTAGCCATAATGAAGGACAAAATTATGAACTTTGCAGCAACTTGAATGGACTTAGAGGCTATAATACTGAGTGATCTATCACAGAAACAAAGAACCGAGTGTCACATGTTCTCACTTGAACAGTTGTTCAACAACTATTATACTACTGTAAGAAAGGGATTGACAGTAGTGGGAAAGTGCCAGGGGAGGACAGAGGTAGGTTTGGCAGTGGTGGGAAAGTGTCGGGGGGGCGCACCCCATCAACAAGGGTACCTTCATAATGGACATTTGCATACCTAAGTCCGAATTGTACCCCACATATTTAAAATAAAAAAATCTTTTTTCAAAGAAAGAAATATAACAACTTTCTCCTTATTCTCTTTATTCTTACTTTGTAGCAAGGGAGAAAAGAAAGCCTTAAATTTACTCATTCAAGAACACTTGCCTTTCAAGCATTGTTTCACATTTCAACCAGATTAGATTCCATGCTTAGTACTTCTGAGCTCCCCATTCTCCTGTGGGAACCCAAGTGCTAGAGGAGTCTGCATGTCATTCTGATTTGTAGGAAGGAGAGCAGGCTCTTGCATGGGCATCCTCTAGAGTCTAGCTGGCCCTACCTTGTCTCTGGGCATCTTGTGCTGCTGTTCACTGATGTATGGCAGGTCCTACTTGGTTCTTTTGAGCATTATGCCAACAACAATGTAGAAGTCTGCATGTTCTACCAAAGGCCCTCACAGTCTGCAGCCTCCTCGTACTCATTCCAAGCTTCTTCCAAGTCACAGGGTCTCTTGGTACTTCCCCACAGAGTTTTCTGGTTTTTCAGACACAAGCACAGACTGCAGAACAGGAGATTTAGAGGCATGCCTCAGGCCCACCAGCCTTGGCCATCCCTCCTCAGCCACTTGAATGACTTGGGGTTCTCTGCTTCCCAATTCTGTGCCAAAAAAGGAACTTCTAGTGTCAAACTTGAGAAACAGTAAGCAAGATACCCTTCCCTGGCTTTCTGGATGTCTCCACTGCCCCTCAGTCCCTCTCCCACCAGTTTCTTCCCCAAAGATATAGACAACTGAATGTTGTCGACTCAAAAACTATGAAATTTGTACATTTGGAGAGGAGAGCTTTCTTTCTTATAAAAGGTTACAGTCTATATGCTGGCCATTCTGTAGGCTGGGAATCGTAGACTCTGACAGAGACCAAAAGCAGGCACTTGAAAGAAGGAAAGATGAGACAGGAATTTATGGGAAACACGTCAACTAAATACTCAAATTTAACATGTTATGGGAGGAAGTATGAATATTCACAAGGGGGTGCACCCTTGCATAGGAAGCAAACATACATTTTACATATAGCCCATGTTCACTTTGGGGTGGAGGCTTAACAATTAAATGCTTTAAAAATAGGCTATATGTGGCCAAGCATAAAACAGAGGCATCCTATACACAACCTCTTTAAACTGGCCAGAAACTGTCTGTGGTCAGTGTTCTCTTATCAGGAAGAAATGCTGATCAAACCGAAAAAAGGGAGAGGAGTTCAGTAGTTGGTTAAAGTCAGTGAGGGAGCACATCTTCCATTCTGTTTCTCCAGTGCCAGTTTCTGTTCAACTCTTAGGAAAGAAAATGTAAGAGCAGTTAGCAAACAAGGGGGGATAACAAGGTGTGGGCATCCTCCTATCTCATGATGAAACTTAGTTTTCAAGGTTTGTTGGGCCAAAAGGGATCCATTGAGTCAGTAGGGGGCTTAGAATTTCATTTTTATTTCACAATGTGTTTAGGAATAAGGGAAGACTGACAAAAGGATGCTATTGTCCTTTGATTCCTCTTTCACCCAGGATCTTCTTCCCCAATACCAAGTCTTTGGTGGATTGTGTTTGTCCTCTTGCTTCCTGGGGCAAAAATAATGTTTTATCACCTAGTCTCAATGGCCAAGGTCTGCAGGAAAATCCCAAATACATAATGTATGAAAACTTTTTTTTTTGGTCTACTGGCTGAGGGTTTGAGGGAAGAGACTGTTTTATCTGTTTGAGGGTATTCTCAACTGCTAATATTGAATACACAGAAAAACAGCTCCTAGCAGATCTTACCATGTCAGTAGGAAGCATCAACTTCAGAGACAAATACTAGTAGACATTTAATGTAAAACAGGATCAGATGATGGAACAGAATTAAAAGTCAAAAATAGCCCCCCTACATATACAAATAAAAACTGATTTTCAAGAAAGACCCAAAGGCAGTTCAGTGAAGAAAAGAGAGTCTTTCCAACAAATGGTGCTGAAACCTTAGATATTCATATGGGCTGGGGGAAGGAAAGAACTTCAATCCATGTCTGTGAAAGGCTGAATCATGCCCCTTCCAAGATGTTCATACCTTAATGCCCACTCGTGAATATGTTATAAGTGTAAAAGATAAACAACAACAATACAAGAATATGTTTGCAAATATATAGTTGATAAGTGGATTTTTCTCCAGAATATATAAAGAGCTCTCAAAACTCAATAACAGCCCAGCCAAGTGAACTTCTTTCTTTCTTTCTCCTTTTTTTTTTTTTTTTGTGTGTGTGTCAGGTCTCACTCTGTCACCCAGGCTGGAGTACAGTAGTGCAAGTAGTAGTGCAGTGGCTCACTAATGGTTCACTACACCTGCGACTTCATGGGCTCAGGAGATCCTTCAACCTCAGCCTCCTGAGTAGCTGGGATTATAGGCACATGCCACCATGTTCAGCTAATTTCTTAAATTTTTGCAGAGACAAGTTCTCACTATGTTGCCCAGGCTGGTCTCAAACTTCTGGGCTCAAGCAATCCTCTCATCATGGCCTCCCAAAGTGCTGGGATTACAGGCATGAGTCACCACACCTGGCCTCAGCCAAGTTCTCATGCAAGTGTAAAGATTTCAGAAAAACATTTTTAGACATACAAGAACCCAAGCAAAAAAGTTTCTTAAAAATTTAAAACTGGCCGGGCTCATGTCTCAGCCTGTAATCCCACGCCATTGGGAGGCAGAGGTGAGTGGATTGCCTGAGCCCATGGGTTCGAGACCCGCCTGGGCAGCAAGACCTCATCTCTACAATAAATCAAAAAATCAGCCAGGCGTAGTAGCACATGCCTGTAATTCCAGCTACTTGGAAGGCTGAGGCAGAAGGATCACCAGAGCCCAACAGGTCAAGGCTGCGGTGGCTGGGAGCAGCCACTACACTCCAGTCTGGGCGAGAGAGTGAGACTCCAACTCAAAAAAAAAAAAAAAAGAAAATTAAAACTGACCTGAAGTGCAGCCAATAAAAATATAAATCAAAACAAACAAAAACAAATTTGATAGTGAAAAACAAACAAAAAAAGGCAAACAAAAATGGGCAAAAGATTTAAATAGACACTTCACCAAAGAAGCTATATGGATGACAAATAAATATAGGAAATTCAAAATCATTAGCCCTGGGAAAATGAAAAGTATAACCACAGGGAGACACACCTACACAAATATTGGAAAAGATATGGAGCAACTGGAACTCTGGTGGGAATGTAAAATGGTACAACCACTTTGAAAAACAATTTGGCAGTTTCCTAAAAAGTTAAACAAATACCCTACAATCCCAGTCATCCTACTGTGTTATTTATCCAAGAGAAATGAAAACATACAACCATACAAAAACTTGTTGATGAATGTCCATAGCAGCTTTATTTATAACAGCCCCAAAGTGGAATCAATCTAAATGTCTATCAACAGGTGAAAGCAAACTAGATCCATACAATGGAATAACTACCCAGCATCAAAAAAGAATGAATTCTTGATAACCCAACAACAGATGAATCTCAAAATAATTGGTCTATGTGAAAGAAGCCAGACCTAAAACAAATGAGCAAACACTATATGATTTAATGTCCATTAAATTTAAGTAAATGCAAATATATAGTGACAGAAAGCAGCTCAGTGCCTGAGAAAGGGAGCTGGGGAGGGTTAGGAAAGAGCATGAGGAAGGAACCTTTTGGGGGCGATGAATATTTGCTATCTTGATTGTGATGATGGTTTACTTTATGGGTATATACATATGTCAGAACTAATCAAATCATCCACTGTTAAGTGTGTTTATTGTATGCCATTTATACCTCAATAAAGCTGTTACAAAAATACAGTCAGAAAATTTGTAATATATAAAAGGTAGAGTATTTACCATATACTAAATAGATAAAAGATAGTGTTGCTAACAGGTTCTATTAGCCGAGAAGCATGAGACAAGGTGTGAGGTGAGTTTCCTTGGTGCCTTGCAGAGAGGCTGAGTCCAGTAAGGGCCAGTGGCCACGGGAAGAGCAAACAGAAGTGTTCTTCTCTCAGGTCACCCGAGAGCGCGGCTGGGCAGCTGGGGTGTAGCTGGGGTGTAACTGGGGGGTGGGTCGGGGTGCAGGCTGGGCTGGGATGTATCTGGGGTGTGAGCTACGTGTGAGCTGGGCCAGGGTGCAGCAGGGGCGCGGACTGGGCTGGATGAGAGGAAAAGACTCACTTTCAGGAGAGCTGGGGGACGCATGACTGAAGTGAGGCCCAGGCAGACTTTTCGTCCTCACTTCCTGGGCTTGGGTCGAGGGGCCACATGGGTACCTAGTAGCCTGCTTTATATTTCCAAATAAGAGCCAGCAGTCTGTTTTGTGTTTGCGGCTTGGAAAGGGAGGGCTGGATTTTGGTTTTGCTTGTTTTGTATTTGTGTTTTGAGTTGGGTGGTGTATCCCACACGTAAGCTGAGACGTCCAATCAGGAACGAAAATAACTCCTTACAGGCAGTGACCAGAAACCACCTCGCTGCAATCAGTAGGGAAATGACATAACAGGGAAACTCCGAGCCTCGAGCTCCCCCCACCCACCGAGGGGTGACCGGTCTGCACAGAGCCTCGCCTGCACCCGCCTGTACTTCCGGAAACTCACCCGATCGGGCGGGAGGGGCGGACCTGAGCCCCGCCCACGCACGCGACCCCGCCCCGCAGCGCGCAGCCTCGCTTTACGGCTGGGGGAGTAGCGGCCTAGACCTGAGGTGGGAGGGGCAGGGGAAGGAGGCTTTTTGCGGCAGGACGTAAGTGACGGTGAAGGCGGTGCGACAGCAGCTGGAGGGGAGAAGAGGCGGGTTCGTGGTTCCCGGACCGAACCCGGTTGCGGTGGGCGCGGGGCGTGGGGCGCGGGCCCAGGAGGGGCGGGAGCTGTGACGGCATGGGTCGGGGGAAGCGGGGTGGGAGCTGCCCGGGGCTGCCGTGAGCAGCGGGTGGGCCCGAGAGGCTGGCGGCCGGAGTCCCGGGCCCAGGCCGGGATCTGAATCGCGCTTGATGTCCCCGAACCTGCAGCGCGGCCAGTCTAGTGCTCGCCATGCGGCCGCAACAGGCGCCGGTGTCCGGGAAGGTGTTCATTCAGAGAGACTACAGCAGTGGCACGCGCTGCCAGTTCCAGACCAAGTTCCCCGCGGAGCTGGAGAACCGGGTACGCGCCTGCCCCACCTGTCGGGTGGGGAGGGAGATTCTAGGGGCTGGAGGGGCCCCACCGGGAAAGCAGGGACACCAGGGACGAGAAGGGGAAGGCCGACGCCCGGCCCGCCTAGTGCCCTGTGGTTTGGGGGAGAGCCGGGCACAGAGGGGCCTGGGCCAGAGGCGCAGGAAGAAGGGCACTAGGCGAGACCTTTTGAGCAGGAAGAATAAGGCCTTGCCCGTGGGCGATGGCTATAGAAATTGATGCTACCGGGTGCCGGGAATCTGGGCCCAGCAGCCTCCTTCCCCTGCTGTCCCCCCGCCCCTTCACCACTACCACTCTGGTTTACTGACAGCAGTGATAAACAGCTCATTTCTGAGGGTCAGGCCTTCTCAGCAGGTTGTAAGCTACATTCTCCACTCCGATCATCGTTCTCGTGACTGACTTTTGTGGCCACTGTGCTAGTCACACTGCTCTGCTGAAAGGGTTAAGTGCTGTGCCAGGCAGTGCAGACAGAACTTGGAACCTAAATCACCTGGAACATTAGATAGGCCTGGACAGGAAAATATCTCAGAACAAGCCACTAAACTCGTCACTCCCACCAGGAGCCACCTGTTTGTTTTGCATATCAAAAATGTCATCTGGATATAGGTCGTTTGGGCAACCTTGCATGCAGAAATGGAAGAATAGGATTCGTTTCCCCTTTCTTCAGACTTAGCCAAAAAAACACCCTTGTGCCTTATTTTAAAGATATAATGGGCCGGGCGCGTTGGCTCAAGCCTGTAATCCCAACACTTTAAGGCCGAGGCGAGAGGATTGCCTGAGCCCAGGGGTTCCAGACCAGCCAGGGCTACAATATATCAAAAAATTAGCCAGGCTTGGTGGCGTGAGCCTGTAGTTCCGGCTACTTGGAAGGCTGAGGCAGAAGGATTGCCTGAGCCCAGAAGGTCGACGCTGGGATGGCCATGAGTGTGCCACTGCACTCCAGCCTGGGCGACAGAGTGAGACTCTTGACTAAAAAAAAAAAAGCATAATGGAGTGTGTGTTTTTGTTTGCCCACATGTGTACACCCAACTAAAGAGATTCTTTTAGTCTTGAGTCATGTTTCTTAGATTCTATTTCCTATTCAGAGGTCAATTTTTGATTAGCTGGGAGCAGATTTTGTGTGTGTGTTTGTGTGTGGTTTTTTTGTGTGTGACAGGGAGGGTGAGGACCTGAGAGATGATTAGGCATTCCATGGGTGTGGGGTTAAAAAATGCTGGTTATGAAGTGGGTGTTGATGACTCTGTACTAGAGAAATGTGTAGCAGTTGGTTAAGGTCAGTTTGTAAGCAAGGTGGGTTACTCTACCTGATTGCCAAGGTTAGAAAATAACAGTGGCCAAATATCTTTTTTAACTGCAAATGAAGATCAAATATACCTTTAAAAGATGAGCTTTTTTCAAATGCCATTTAAATGCTTCAGTGTGTTGTCAACGATGTTATGAGTTAACAAAGCATGACAGTAGGTGGACATTTACTGTCCACGGCTTGAAGAGATAGAAATTGAACAAGTTGCTAACTGGTTAAAGCTACTGTATGTTGTTTTTAAAATAGTTTAACATCACAGTTAACATGTTTTACTTGTTAAGACTTACATAAAATCTATCAAATGTTTTATTTTTAATCCTATTATGGAAGCTATGGTTTACACAATTTATGTACTTTAAAAATCAGAAAGTAAACTATTCTTTTTCAGCACACATATTTGGCTGTTACCAAGATTCCTTTGTTTACAGATTTTAAATCCAATCTTCACCTCATATATTTGAACTAAATATGTGTGTGCAAAATCAGACGTTAGCCTTCCATTCTGTGTGTGGTAGAGCCTTTATCGTCTGAATAACAAAAGCACGATGTAGTCTCAGTACTCCACTGATTCTTCCAGGAAATTGATGTTTCTAAATTCTGGAGTCCTTTTACTTCTTCAACTTCGTATGGCCCAAAACGCCTGTGGTACTGAGTACTATATGGAATGTTACATGGTGCTATTTAGTTGTGCCTTTGAATTTTTTTTTTTCTCTTTAAATGTTTGGGTTAAAACACTAGTTTATACTTTAAACCACTTGGGAAAGCTTTGATTTTTTTTTTCCTGTGTTGAGATTAAATTTAAATTACAGGTTTAAATTTTCCTTGCTTTGTTTGGTGGGAAATTGAAAGGTTTCTGTACTACTTACCCTAGAAATTCTACTGATTGCTGTGCCACTGGGGCTAATTTTCCTTTTGTGAGAACCTCACACTTGGCAACTTAATAGAGGAAGAAACTAAAATGCAAGTGTTTTGTATTACTTTAAAGCATTTTTTAAAATACACATTGTGCCCTTTAATTTGAGAGTGAGGACAGTTTTGTCTCTTTACAAGTTTATTTTCCCCACTGCCTGTCAGCATGTAATGCTTTGATGCTTAAGTGCTTTGTTGCCAGAGTAATTCTTTAAAGGAACTTTTATTCTTATTTTAGCTAAAATACATATATCTTAATCACCTTTGGTCTGGGTAGAAGAAAAATGAGTGAACTATAATTGAGGCATTTGTTCCCCTATTTACTTTTAAAATTATGTCTTCCCATCTGGTCAGTAGATTACCTTTGACTTGTGATCACTTTGAGCCTCAGCACTGTGTTTTCTGCTTTGTTGTTTAGCGAAACAAAAATTCTGGGAAAATGATCTTGATTTCTCCTTCCATTCTTACTTTTAATGTTTGTGGGTCCAAATTTATAATTGACTCCAACTTCACATATCTGTAAATTTTTAGAGAGCTCCTGTGTGTGAATGTTCAGGTGCCCAAGGAGAACACTGGCAGCTGTTTTTCATAGAGCCTAAAGGTAGTGAGATTAAAAATACCATAATATAGTTGGAGACCCAAACTTCACCTGCACATAAATTGCTTATGTACCTAATACTAACTTGTACCCCGTGTTTCAATAATAAAATAAAGCGTTTTTTTTTAAAAGTCAACATTTGTCCTCTTGAGCTCTTGTGTGTGGTTTATTATTTGCCTTTACTGCTGCCTTCTGTGCTTTTTACCTTTTATTTTTCTTGTTTAATAACCTTTCAGAAACTTCTTAACATTTACTCTTTTTGTAACCTTTTATTTATTTTTTTATTAACCCTTAAAACAAAACCCTCAAACTTTTCTTATTTTTATATTTTAACATTTATGATTTGCCTTCATTCTGTAAGGCATTGTAATATTTAAATAACTCTTTAAAAATTCGTGGTTTTGGCTGGACACAGTGGCTCACACCTGTAATCCCATTTGGGAAGCTGAGATGGGAGGATTGATTGAGGCCAGGAGTTCAAGACCAGGCTAGGCAACATAGCGAGACCCTGTCTCTTAAAGAAATATTTCTGATACTGACAATAATTCTAACATGAAATAAATGTTTCTGGGTTGGTTCCCATGGTTTCGAATCATATTGTTTTTAAAGAAATGTAAGGACTTATCAGATGATAACATTATAGGCAAATCAAATGTAATTGGAATTATTTAGACTTTTGTAGATTTATTGATGGTCAAACTGAAGGCATTAACATTGGCATAATTAGGTCAACACAACAATTTAACATTAACATCTGTTTCCTGAGCTCTTAAGTCTAGTTCTGGGAATGACAACTCTGACTTAGGTTCCCAGATAATGAGCCTTGACACCACATCTTCAAATGAGAGGTCCTGAAAGGAACACTGCTTCTGCTCTTATCACTGCCCTCACCAACTAGCCCTTGTCTGAAACTCTCATTCTGGGATATTTAAAGTAGCTCTTTTTGAAAAACAGAGCCACCATACTTGTGCACACATGTTTATTGCAGCACTATTCACAATAGCAAAAACATGGAACGAACCATGCTGCCCATCGAAAGTGTACTGGATTAATGGAGTATTACACAGCCATAAAGGACAAAATTATGTACTTCGCAGCAACTTGCATGTATTTACAGTCTGTCATACTGATCTGTCACAGAAACAAAGAACTGAGTACCACATGTTCTTACTCATAAGTAGACCCTGAACATTTATCATAATACTACATGAAAGAGATTGGCAGTAGTGGATCACTGCCAGGGGTTGAGGGGGGACACATAGCATTAGTAAGGATACCTGATCCCAAACCAGGCAAAGTGAGGACCAATGGGAGGAAGGCCCAAACTTCACCTGTACAATGACCACTTATGCACCTAACCCTGAATTGTACCCCATCTCTTTACAATATAAATAAATAAATAAAATGATTACGTTAACCTTTTTCATGGCACTATCTCATTGAGGGCTTACAGATTTCCACACAAATAGCAAAACAACAATTACAAATCCTAATCCCAGGGATGTTTGTAGCTTAAGGGTGATCATATTTTTATTTATTTGAGAAATTTCCAACCTGCTTTCCACAGGGGTTGAATGAACTTATATTCTCACCAACAGTGTATGAACATTCCCTTTTCTCTGCAGCCCACTGTGATTACAGTACCCTGTTCACTTACTGCATTTTTGTTATTACATATGTGTTCTGCTTGCATAAACGAGCTCTTGAGGCTTGTTACAGTGCCTTACTCATCTTTCTCTAAGGCTTGTCATAGTATCTGATAGTAGGTGCTCAGTAAATGTGGATATAAATGAATGGAAAGAGGAATTGGTCTATAATTAAGTTACTTGAAATTCATAAGAAAGAATAAAGAAGTACCATATTGAGCCTTGAAGTTATCCAATATCCATGAGGGAGATAAGATTAAACAAACCCAGGCTGGGCACAGCGACTCACACCTGAATTGCAGCACTTTGGGAGGCTGAGGCAGGAGAATTGCTTGAACCCAAGAGTTTGAGACCAGCCTAGGCAACAAAGTGAGACCTCAGCTCAACAAAAAAGTCAAAAAGTTAGCCAGGCGTGGCAAGCACCTGTGGTCCCAGCTATTCAGGAGGCTAAGGTGGAAGAATGGCCTGAACCCAGGAGGTCAAGGCTGCAGTGAGCTGTGCTGGTGCCACTGCACTCCAGCCCAGGTGACAGAGTGAGACCCCAACTAAAAAAAAAAATTAAACCCTAAACAGTTTTGGTAACTTGGGTCCAGATTCAGTTAGCTAAAAAAATTGTCGGCTTAATATTAGATAAGAATGTTGACAAGATAAATTATTAATAGCAAGCATTAATAAGTTGATCTTTTTTTCCAAAACTTATTTTTAAATTCTTTTTCCCTACAGATTGATAGACAGCAGTTTGAAGAGACAGTGCGAACTCTAAACAACCTTTATGCAGAAGCAGAGAAACTTGGGGGCCAATCATATCTCGAAGGCTGTCTGGCTTGTTTAACGGCATATACCATCTTCTTATGCATGGAAACTCACTATGAGAAGGTAAGGCTATGTTTGTTTTCACAGAATCTCTTAAAATTATAAACAATATGATTTTATTACACATTGATGCTTACATGGTAACAATTTCTGTAACATTTTTAGGGGCATTTGTAATAATTCAAATATTGTTGCTCCCATGTCTAGAGCACTAGGCAGGAAACCTGAGTCTTTCAGAAACAGGTCAGATCCGTTGCGTCCACTTGGTGTTGACATGTCAGTGTTCAGATTGGCCTATACTTAAGAAGAATGTAGAAAATCTATGTGTTCTTATTCTTCCCAGCCTTTTGAGAATCTTCTTCCTTTATTTCCCCAAATTTCTGTCTTCAGTTCTCCTCCTACCTGATTCGTGTCTTCAAGCTACCAGCTAGATCCAGAGTTGCTGGCTTCTCAGCTTAGGATGTCCAGAATTCAAGCCTCCCACCTCCCCACTTGTTTGATAGCACCCTGTCTTTTCAGTGCCATCTTTAGGTGTGGGGAGTGAAAAAGAGGAAAAAATCAGTTGTCAAAGACTGAAATAAATGTCTTTGTTTTCCCATTCAGTAATTTTTTTTGTGATTTCCTCTGCCAGTGTCTTAGGTTGTGCCCTTATCATCTTTCCTCTAGACTGTTGAATAGTCTTAACTAGCCTCATTTCTTCCCTCCTCTTGCTTTTCCAAGCTATCTCCTGCTGTCTTCATAAAGCCTTACTTCCCCACCACTCCTGTAAGTCAGAGACCTTTCCTGGCTTCCCAGTTTTTGCCACTGAGTAAACTTCAAGCCCTGCTCAAGCTGACCTCAGTTTACCTTTCCAGCTCTGTCTCCCATCCCTTCCTTTACTTTCTCCTTCAACCAAACTTGATCCCTCACTGGTCACCAAGCGTACCCTCTGTAGTTCTTCTCCACCTAGATTGCCATCTTCCCATGTTCAAATCCCACCAGTCCCTTATGTCCAGCTTCTGTCTAACTTTTTCTTACTCTTCTGGTTAGAGTTATTTCTCTTCTTAGTGTCCATACAACATTTTATTTGCATCTATTTTTCCGGTATTTTATTTGTATCTATTCACTTTCTATGTTGGAATGTAGCACTTTATACTCTTGTCTTAGTTGCCCTTCCAGCATGCATTTTTCCTGAGGACATTGCCTTACCCATTTTTGTATCCCTCTTCATGCCTAACCCCATGCCTTGGCATTCGATGAATGTGTGTCAAGTGAATGACTTTAGGTTAATCATAGTAAACCCATAATACATCACCAAGTTCTGACAATGTTTAGAAAATGAAATGCTATGAGGATATATTGTACCCCACCTGATAGAACTGTTTGCACTCCATATCGTGGAGGGTGGATATAGCTGCAGCTAAAATATTTGGAGCTGAAAATGCTGCTGTATTCTTTTTTTTTTTTTTTGAGTTGGAGTCTCATTCTTGTCGCCCAGGCTAGAGTGCAGCAGCATGCTCACGGCCACCACAGCCTCCACCTACTGGACTTAGGTGATCCTTTCACCTCAGCCTTCCAAGTAGCTGGAATTAGAAGCACATGTCACCACGCCTGGCTCATTTTTTAATTTATTGTAGAGACGAGGTCTCCCTACGTTGCCCAGGCTGATCTCGAATCCCCCTCCTCCAACGGTGAGGACAGCTCTTATGAGTTCTAGATCCACGGCCACCACAGCCTCCACCTGCTGGACTTAGGTGATCCTTCTGCCTCAGCCTTCCAAGTAGCTGGAATTAGAGGCACATGCCACCACGCCCGGCTCATTTTTAAATTTACTGTAGAGACGAGATCTCACCAAGTTGCCCAAGCTGGTCTGGAACCTGTGGGCTCAGGAAATCCTCCTACCTTGGCCTCCCAAAGTGCTCAGATTGCAGACTGAGCCACCATGCCCAGCCACTGCAATATTCTTTATTAGCATCCTAACATGTATTTTCTTGGTGTTACCATAATTTTGTGTCATGTAAATAAATATATTTAAATAGTCATTTATGCCCTTTTCCTTGTCACACATAGAGATGCAACTTTCATTCCCATTTAACTTTCACAATCAGAAGTTATCGAGGATCAGTGTTAGCTTTCAGTCTGTTTAGTCTTAGCATCTCCTCTCTAATAATAAATTGGGTGAGTAAAGGGTCAGAGGATTCATTCATTTGATAAATATTTGTTGAAAGCCTACTATGTGCCGAGCAATGTGCCAGGATATAGCTGGACAGGCAAACAGTTGCTGACCTGGTGCGTGGAGTTGATCATTTAGTGGTGACAATAATAAGGAAACAAAACCAACAAGATTATACACTATCATAAGTGCCTTGAAGGAGACAAAACTGGTGTATGATAGAAAATAATAGGTAGGACCCAATTTAGAGTTCTTGATCAGAAGAGGCCTCTGAGGTGGTGACATTGAAGCTGTTGCCTGAAGGATGAAAAGCCCAGAGCACTGAGGCAGAGAGATGAACACATGCAAATGCCCAGGGAGCTTGGTGGTCCTGGGAACTGAGAAGGCAGTTCCGTAGGAAAGGAGGGCAGAAAATGGCCCAAAATGGATTTGGGGAGGAGTAGAAGCTGTATCATACCAAATTGCCTAGTCTATGGAAAAAGGTTTAGATTTTATTTCTAGTGAAGTGGGAAGCTACTCAGCTCTGTTTTAAGCAGATGAGTGATCTGATTAGATATTCATTTTAAAGAGAATATCTAATCTGTGGGGGAAAGGCCTAAGAGTAGAAGCAGGGAAACAAATTTGGAAGCTCCACAGCGTCCAGGCAAGAGATGATGTAGCTTGGAGCAGGCGCAGAGAAGTGGAGCCGGAAGGAGTGGCCAGCTCCAAGCGGTATGTTGTTGATGGGAGCGGCATGTGGGAAGGAGGGGAGGCTGAATTCGTACTGGTGGAATCTTGGTCATCCTTGATGCTCATTTAAAGAAGCATGTAATAGTGCCAATTTGAGGTAGAAAGACATCCTCTAGAGTACTGTATTCATGCTTAGTGTAGTATTAAAGGCTTGAGGTATCATTTCACTATACCTTTTAAGTTTGTTGATAAAATTTTAATTAACTTCTATTTGTCCGTGTATATTTACTGAAGTAGATGCAACTACTTCTATTTGTCCATGTATATTTACTGAAGTAGATGCAACTACTCACATCAGTTGTAAAAAGACATTACCTTGGTAATTGGATGCCGACCCAGTTATATGCTAATTATAAGATCTTGGACAAATCTCACTGAGTTCTCTCAACTGTAAAATGGATCTTAGAATTAATAAATTGCCTCACATATGATAAATGTTTAATAAACAGCATTTTCTTGAGATAGATTTAAATGAAGTTGTCTATATAAGTTTTAATTGAATGCTTGTGAATCACCTGTGATTTTTTTTCCACGTATAAGTAATCTTTTTTTAGCCAGCTGCTAGTTTCGTTGGATGCTAAAAACACTTAGCAGTTCTCAATTAAAATCCTTTCAATTATTAATCTTGGAAGATGGTCCTTGATATTAAAAATACAATGGAAATTGGTTGATCCCAATACATGTTTTAACTTGGGTTTAACAGGCAATGTATAAAGTACTACTTTGTAGGTCTAATTAAAGTCCCTTTCTTTTGATAGAGCAAATACTATAAGCAAGTAAAGACCACATAAAATTAATTAAGAAACCAAGACTTAAGGCATGGCCACATTTTTTTTAAAAATAGGTGATTTTTTTTTTTTAGAAACTCACGTAGATAACTAGATCATGCAAAATTAATAACTAGAATGGTCATAATTCCAATACAATGAACTTACACTTTTAAAAGGAAACTTTTAAAAATGTATATTTGTATTTTTGATGAAATGATAAAACTATAAGAACAACTACCCTCTCCCTTCTGTAGTTTTTCCATTAGGAATTATGTGCTGTTATTTTCTACTTATGAAGGGACAGGGTTGAGGCATTTAGTCTCTATTGTCTTAAGCACCAGAATTCCAGTCTACAAACAGTAGGCCAAATATAATAGTGCTTATACTTTGTCATGTGTGTCTAATTTTTTGAAATTGTAAATAGGCCTTTTAAAACTCACCAAAACAATCATGCATTTTTTCCCTATAATGTGCTATTTATTGATTGGAAATGAAGATAAAGACTTCAGTGTTATTTCTCTATTGTTGCTACCCATTATAATTAGAAAACAAATGGGCTTGTAGAAGGTTCTCTCAGTTGCTCTCTGCCTTGTTCATCAACTAGAAAACATTCCTTCTGCCTATGTGTTATAATCTCTGAAATGAACACAGGAGAGAACTTGGATTTGTTCTGAAAACCCTGAGATCCTGCTGCTCTCACCTCAATTAGTCTTCTTTTCTTGAATGCCTAGTAGACTTTCTCCAGTGTAATATTCTGAGAGTACTGTAGTTTTTCCTAAGGTTTGATTGTGTTTCACTTTGTAAATATTATATAAATTGAGGGTTTTTTTGAGAGTTTAAGAATAACAGATAATTTCATTAAATATTATGGTTTGTTTTGACATTGATTTACCAAAAATAATGAAATGAGAATAAAATGTTAACATAAGGTTTCTTGGGATGAGAATTGTGCTTTGTCCTGTCTGGCATTGCAGGCTAATGATTTTCTGTTACTGACGAAACTAAGAATTTAAAAGCACTTTGTTGAGGACAGGACTGCCTTTAGCAAAATAGTATAAGAGGATTTGGAGCCTATACACAAAGAAAGCAAATTGTTCTCTTTCGGAACTGATACCCAAATGCACATCAATGTTACTAAAGTTTATAAAAACCTTGCATAACAAAGTTATGCTTGAACCAAATAAAGGAACACTGTTTCTTTGCTAGTAACCTGTAACCAAGAAAAGAAGGAGGAAAGCTGTTCTGAAGGAATTCTTTCTTTGAAACCAGCCATGCAGGCATTTTTCTGTGTGTCTCCCCAGTATTAATGGGCTGGGATGAAGGGAGAGTGAGTCTCCAGTTTCCAGTTCTGGCAGGTGAGCTGAGAAGGAAATTGGAGAGAAGATTGAGAGTCCTGAGTTGGGCACCTTTATGGGCTGCTTCCTGCTATTCATTATTTTAGGATGATTGACAAACTCAGATATAAAGATAGTGGCTAAAGGTTTTTTTGCTTACAAAGGCCAAGCACAGCTCAAATTCTTTGAGTGCTGAAAATAGGAGAGTGATATATGCATTGCTTCACGTAATTAGATGAAGAAACGAATATTTAGATTCATTCTTAATTTATTACATAAAGAAACATGCAGATTGCCCTTTCAATAAGTTCATGCTCTTTTAAGAAAGCATAAAACATAAGATTTTTTTTATCCCCAAAGAATACTTGAACAAACTGTTTAAATTACTTTCCTTCAATAAGAAAAGTATGCACACAAACCATATAGAGTTTTAAATCCTAAATCATTTTATAACAAAGAATCTAAATTATGACATCCTAATTTGTTATTTTGGCTTGGTACGTTATATGCCCACACTTAATCATTGCTTAATTTGCAACTTTATTTTCATATTTCTTTTTTCCTTTTGTGTTATCACATTTGTGACTTTATCATTTACTAATAGTGTTAATTTGAGGAAATATATAATAATTTAAAGAACTGGATCAAAGCCTCTTTGAACATTAGAGCCAGAAAAGGGTTATGATGACTCTGAACCTGAAATAAAGCATGTAACTCTTTGATTTTGGATATAGCTATTAAGATTTATTTTTGTCCAACTTATCAGTCTCAGAATTGCCCTTATTAAAGCTGGAGATTTGGCAGTTTCCAGAAGTTCCTTTGTATGCTATCTGGTTTTTGTCTACATTTGCTTTGACTTTTACAAGCTTAATACTAAACTTATAAATTGAGGTTCCTGTCTAGGAAACAAGCAAACTATAGAGTAGCACTCCTCACGGTCATGGAAATGATATAGGACACTTGTAGTCATCAGAAACTCATGGAGCTAACGCTCACATGCCTCACAAGGGAAATCAACTTTTCCATTTTAAAATGATTGGGCTACCTTTTGTTATAGGTCAACCCTATATCATTACTTAAAACTGATGGAAATGTACAAAAAAGAAGAAGCAGTTCTTTAAGTTTTATGAAAAGGAAGGTTAAGAACTATCCTTGATTTTAGATGTCACACTAGCAACACTTTATTAATAAAGAATAAGAAGCATGGCAAGCCATCGCGTATATAGTCATCTGTGTTATTTCTCTATATGCGGATTGAGTTGACTGGGAGGCAAGAAGGGAAGGGGATTGGTTCTCATTGTGTTTTTGTATTCATTTGCCCTTACTCTGTGTCAAAGATGCTTTTGACCTGAAGAGCCCATCACACTGTGCTGTGTGTCGGATGCAGCTGACGTGAGCCAGGGAACCACCCATATTCCACGATATGAATATCCATATTACTTGCCTTGAAACTAATTCTACTGCCTGAATATTTTGAGATCTACCTGACATTTAAAGGGAAATCTGATGAAATTTGTAAAAAGCTGTGGTGTTTCTTTCTGTCAGGTTCTGAAGAAAGTCTCCAAATACATTCAAGAGCAGAATGAGAAGATATATGCTCCCCAAGGCCTCCTCCTGACAGACCCCATTGAAAGAGGACTTCGAGTTGTATCTTTTTAGTTCAGAACATAAACTCTAAATGTTTATCAAAAAAAGAAAATGTTGATATTATTTGGCATTGACTAGAGAAAATTTGACTCCCATCTCTTGTTTGCCTTAGGAAGTTTCTGTGTGAACTGTATACCTACCATAAGCTTCCTGTCTCCAACATGTTTTCTTCAAACATGTCTCTCTGCCCTTTGCACTGTTCAGGTCTCTGGATTGTTGAGTATTCTGGTTCCCATCTTTCTTGGTGGTTCTGAGGGCATCTTGTAGTAATAATGGGGGTGGTGTGAGTAATGCATTTCAGCTGCAGCAACTCTGAACCAAAAGCCCCTTTGAAATGTATAAACTCATAATGTGTGGTGAGACTTGTCATCCAAATGAATTGCAGTTTCATGGGTTCATCTGACTAGTTGAAATCAGTTACAGCTGCCAGATGTATAATTTCATTACCTTTGACATACTGTGCATATTTTTAGAGGCAGTAAGCTTTGAAAATCACTAAGTGAATTTGGTAAATAAAATTGCAAAAACTAATTTAGTTTGATAGCTGAAGTAATGGGTAAATAAATTTTTTTTAAAACCTAGATCACATAATCCCAGGCCTTCCAGCTGATAATAATTTCGGCAGTTTTATTATACTTTGTGGAAGTGGTTCTTAAAACTTTCAGAGGTCATGAACCCTCTCCCAAGAAAAAGTTTTTATATAATCTCAGGACATTTTTTAATGAATTCATTATCTCCATAGATTTTAAGTTAAGAATCCCCTAGTTCTACAAATAAAACATCCTTTTCAGATTTTTTTTTCCCAAAAAATAAATCATTAATGTTTGGGAAGAAAATATGTGTAATTAAGTGATTATGTTTCTTGATATTTTCAGCTAAGTGGAGAAAACATATTTAAGTAGGAAAATATTTTAATAATTCAAAAACAAAGCAAATTGAAAGCAAAGTCTGTACAGTTATACATGCCATCTTGCCAAGTCTCCTTTTGTGGGTTGTGTCCTGTAGTGTGTTTTCTTAACAGCCATGCTGTTTAGATTGAAATTACCATTTATGAAGACAGAGGCATGAGCAGTGGAAGATAAACCATAAAGGTAAAGGTAAATATGAAATTATATGGTTTATTTGCAGTTTTTGCAAATTTGGAGGGTGCATAAATTTTCTTCTCTGCATGATAAATAAGTCATTGATTCATGCAGTTAAATACTGGTATATTTGCTATATTAGCTGAAGCTATTTACTGTATTAACTTGATATTTAAAATGTATATTTAACCCAGATTCTATCTGGTGATACAAAATTTAGTTCTGGTTGTTTCCCCCTGTATCGTTTTCAGACTGGTTTCTTGTTACTTTAGGGTTGGGGGAGCAGTTATTTGGCTTGTTTTGTTTTAATATTTAAAAACTATCTTAGACCTTTAAATAGTTAGGTTTTGCATTTAAGAGTCAGTCCAGAGATTTCTTTACCTATGTAACAAATGACTTTAATAAGCAAAGGGACAATTCAGAGGGGAGTGGGGAGATTCTGAATATTTCATTTGTTGTATTTAAGTGGCTTCAGAGCCCTGTAGAATAAACCTTGCCCACTTGTTTAAAATGTTACTGTTCTTGGATATCCAGATAATGCCTTTTATTAAGTAAGAAACTCATTAATACTAATAAGAATCTGTAGGCAGAGTCCATTTGAAGCCATAAGTACTTAGCGCAGCCTTCTAAGTGACAAAATGTAGGCACTTTGCTGTTTCTGCCAGTTTCCTTTACATGCTCTTTCTACAGATAGTTCTGCTGCTGCAGTATTCTGACTGCTTGCAGGTGTCTGTCACTAATTAAGACAGCACAGACACAGAATGTCCCAAAGCAGACATATTCCTTCCTAGGGCAACATTAATAATAATAGCTACCGTTTTCATAGCACCTACTATATATATGCCTGATATTATGCAGATGGTACTTCTGAATCCCACAAGAACCCAGCAAAGTATTTTCTCCATTTTACAGATGAGCAAACCTAGTTACAAGGAGTTCAAGTGATGTTCCTAAGGTCATAACATTTAATAAGCATTGGGATGTGACCCCAAGTCTGACTGACCATAAAAATCACTAAAAAAGTATGGTGTATGTCTTGGGCACCATATTTCCTGTGAATACTTGCAGCAGCAGGAACATAGAGAAAGTAATAAATATTTATCCCCTTTCCTTCTTTTTCAATACTTTTTTTTTTTTTGAGTTGGAGTCTCACTCTGTCGCCCAGACTTGAGTGCAGTGGCCGCTCCCGGCCACCGCAGCCTCGACCTGCTGGGCTCCGGCGATCCTTCCACCTCAGCCTTCCAAGTAGCCGGAATTACAGGCGTGCGCTACCACATCCGGCTAATTTTTTGATTTATTGTAGAGATGAGGTCTCGCCTGCCCAGGCAGGTCTTGAACCCGCGGGCTCAGGCAATCCACTCACCTCAGCCTCCCAAAGGCGCGGGATTACAGGCTGAGCCACTGAGCCCGGCTTCAATACTTGTTTGTTTGTTTTCATTAGGGTCTCACTGTCACCCAGGCTCGAGTACAGTGGCATGATCACAATGACCATGGCTCACTGCAGCCTCGACCTCCTGGGCTCAGGTGATCTTTTCACCTCAGCATGAACTACAGGCATGTGCCACCACACCCAGCTAATTTTTTTTTTTTTTTTTTTGTAGAGACGAGGTTCTACTATGTTGCCCAGGCTGATCTTGAACTCCTGGGCTGAAGCAGTCCTCCCACCTTGACTTCACGAAGTGCTGAGATTATAGGCATGAGCCACTGCACCCAGCCCTTTTTAAAAAATACATTTTTGTCTGCTTCTGTGCCACTTACTCAATCCTACAAGCCAGCCAGCATTCCATGGCTGCTTTCTCTAGCACTAGTGAATGTGTCACCTGAATTCCTGAAAACCAGAGGTCTAAATAATGACATCTTCTGTTACATGTTTTATTTCTTTAAAAAGGCTTTGTTTTGGAACACTTAGTGTTTCTTTTCTATACAGTTTCTCATGTGTAATTTCCAAACTGATATTTCTCAAACAAGCAACCAGGAACCTTATGTGTGGTTTTGTTACATGCTATGGATTGAGTTTGTTTTATCAGTTGCAGCTGCGTTGACCTAGCACAACCCATTTGTCATGACTCATTTTGTAGCTATTACTGTGTAATAGTGTATTTTTCTGAGGTGGTATGGGATTTTGAGTAATTGCACACCAGAGGCTCATCTATCAATATTCAAACAACTGTGAAATTTTGAAATGGGAAGGATTTACATTAAGAACTTCTGGATAGTTTCACAAATGCAAATATTTTTGTTGAACACAATTTAGTTTTCAGAGTTATGTGTTCCTTACGTCCAGGACCCACTGTGGGCTGAGATCTTAGAGAAGGAGGAAAATTCTAAGCATAATGTATTCAATTCTACCATTTTTCTTAAGTCTGGAAGGTGTCTGCAGGTTGAAACAATACCTGGGAATTAAATTAGCAGTTTAACAAAAGAATATACAAATAATGAGGATCGCCTTTATTTTAAAAAAGAACTTTAAACAAAAAATATTTTGCTGTTTTTAAGTTTAACTTTTTAAATACTTTGCATATATCTTTACTGTCACATCTTTAGTATTAGATATGTTTTCTCTCTGGATTAAGATTGTTATCCTTATTTAAAAAATGAAATACAATGATTATTCTATCATAATAAATTAGTGCGTGATAATAAAAATAGCTGACATCTGTTGGCATACATGTGCCAGCACTGTTCTAAATGCTTGATTTTAATCATCACAACAACCCACAGTGTAAATACTTGTTACCCCTGTTTTTCAGATGAGGAAACCGAGGCACGGAGAACTTACTTGTCCAAGGCTAAGCAACTATTCGGTAGCAATCGAGGCAGCCTGGTTCCATGGTCTGCACCTGACCCTGTGCCATACCACCTCTTGTGATGTGGTTGGTCAGAGATCTGAATATACAGGCCTTAGATTCCTAGACTCTTGAGCTGTGTACTCATTTAGACAAATCATACAGATCCGTGTATTTTATTAGATAAGATCCTGGTCACTTGAACATAGCCCATATATTAATAAGCTTACATCAGTTGATGGAAGAGAGATGGTCTTAGAAGTTATTTATTGCATCTCTTTCTAAAACCTTTACTTTTTCCCCTAATTATAGATCCCACCTCCAACTGGGACCCTCATCTATCCACTGGCTGATCGCAGAGTGTCCCTACCTCCTCTCCAGAGCATCATTCCTTTGTATCTGCTGCCAGAGCCACGGTGCCATTTACTCCAAGGACTAACTTTCTAAAATTCCACACCCGGAGTGACTTCAAGTCGCTCAGCATCCACTTTGTGTCTCCAAATTGTGTAGGACTCTGTAATCTTTTGATTAGTTTCTGAGAAAACACAATGAAGCATTTCACTTTTTTATTCAGAGCTGTTTAATGAAATATGCAGTTGGTTAGCCCAGTGCAAAGTTTATTTCTTACCTGCTACCAATATATTCCATGGGTTCTCCTTATTCCTGGGTGGCTTTCTCAGGTGACTTCAGACTTCAGCAAGTCATATCTTGGCCAGTGTTCAGTCTTATTCTCCCAAATTAATAAGATGCTTTCTCCAGGATTTTGGTGGGGGGTTGGCTGTGTCTGCGGATTTGCTAATGCATCTCCCAGATTTCAGAGAACTCCCAGCTTTGCCATAACCCAAATCTTAAAAATCTATTTCTGCTATTCAGTTTCTCAAACCGAAGGTCATTGAAAAAATAATGTAGATGTTATTTGTTTTATTATCACAATTATTCCTAATTAAAGCAGTATTTAGTGCAATTTCCAGTTTTCTTTGAAGAGTTCTGTTATTATTTTACATTGAATGTTGGGGAAATGTGGTATGTGTTGCTTGTTCATTACAAAATAAGTAAGCACAATAAAGTGGATGCTAACCATCAAACACATAATGTCCCTGCTGTGTCCCTGAATGTGTAATATGCAAGTGTAATAAATATTTTATTATAGTTTGTTATAAATATAACTTATGAGAAAAAAGTTTGATAGGGATAATACTGTATATTGCTAATTTTTAACTAATCCTACCGGCAAACCTATGACTTATAGAATTTCCTAATATACAGTATTCACTGCACAGAAATCTTATGATTGGCTGAAGTACAGTAAGTTATTTCTAAGTAAAACTTTCTAGTCTGGGTCAGTAATTCTAGCTCTTTTTTTGGTAGTGCGTTTGTAGCATCAGGGCTTCCTCTGCCCCCATTCATCTTTGAGTGTGAGCACTGTATGGGGAGAGAGTCAAGAAGTGCACTAGGGGAGTGAATGGGTGAGAGTTTTACTCTCAGAGACATTGTAGGTGCTAATACTGGACTTAATCTTTCAGATTTGATTTCCTTTATGGGTCTGTTATTCAATATATCCTGTAGGTCTATGTAATATTTTAATTGTGTAAAACTTTTTTGTTACTTTACAGCCTGTACTAGTGTCTCTGTCTGCCTTTTAAACCCGTTGCAATAACTTTGCTGAAATATTAACACATTAGTAAAACTTTTCTTAATCATATTGTCTCTGTGTCATATTTGGTGTGATTTGATAAAGTAGTAAATGGCATGGCCTTAAATTTGGCAGATATACGATACCACTAGAATTGTAGTGTAGCATAGTTTATCTTACAAGAGCAGATATGGAAGCATAGAAAAAAAAACTATATAAAGAAATAATGAGATTGGAATGTTTCTTTAGGAAAAAGGTATCACAGTTATTGTTATAATCTTAGATCACCTGCTGACTCCATTTTTTAAAATGAGACCGATTTATAAAGATTAACGACTTACACAGTCTATATTCCAGTTTTTTCTTTTTGAGCATATTTTCCAATATAAAATTTTCAGTGTCTTTCCTATCCAATGAAACTAATAGTAAATAATATTCATATATAGCCAGTAGTCAAAAAAAGAGGTCATAGGCCCTGGCTCCTAGCATAAGCTAAAGTCATAGTTTCATGACAGCAAAAAGCTTTTTTTTGTTTGTTTTAGTATCATATAAGAGAGATGAGAGTATTGGTGCTTTTCTCCCTCCTCCACTGATCTTCCTCACAGCAAAGGAGATGGCAGATGCCATGAGGGCAGAAATGATTTTTTTATCCTTGCATCTTCCCCACACTCCAAGTATCCTCACAGACAGTGCTGCAAATCCATAGCCCTCAAATATTTGTAAAGTGAATACATGAATGAGATAAGTTGACCATTTGGTCATTAACATCAGAATAGAGTTACTTTGCTACACCTGGACTAGTAAGGCGTTTGGCTTCTGATAGGCAGTGATTTCTAGGCTCCCTCTGCAATGTCTTCTAAAACTGGAAGGCGGTATCTGTGGCTCATGCTCCATTAGAGTGGACTTTGCCTGGAGACAACTAGAGGATTCCAGCGACCTTTCTCATCTCGATCGGGAATTCTCAGAGAAAGGAGAAAGGAGTTGCATTAAAGCCTCTGAGGTGGAAAGCTAATGTAAATTACAAATAAGCCTCCTACTCATACTTGGTCCATTATTCTGTAAATTGTTGACATTGCTGAAGTGTGATGTCAAATCTAACTATGATTAAAACGTTTTAAAGTATATTTCTCCTTGGTTCTTTTAAATTCACTTGGATAATTTTCACTTTTCTTTTTTTTTTTTTGGAGTCTCACTCTGTCACCCAGACTGGAGTGCAGTGGCCGCTCCCGGTCACCGCAGCCTCAACCTGCTGGGCTCCAGCAATCCTTCACCTCAGCCTTCCAAGTAGCTGGAACTATAGGCATGCGCTACCATGAACGGCTAATTTTTTATTTATTGTAGAGATGAGGTCTCACCAAGTTGCCCAGGCAGTTCTCGAACCCGCGATCTCAGGCAATCCACTCACCTCAGCCTCCCAAAGGCGCGGGATTACAGGCTGAGCCACCGAGCCCGGCTCAATTTTCACTTTTCAAAGATCTCTAAGTACCTAATAAAACACAATACCTTTTACTCATTTTAATCCTTGATGCTAAATTTCTCTATGCAAAGCCAAAGTTACAAGAATGATATGAAAACTGTGCTTGTCACTCATTAACAGATAAAATGAACTGAACAGGCTTGAAATCTAGCATCATCAGAGACTGGTACAAATCCCCACTGAAATAGGGCAATGGATCCTTCTCATCTGTGGTTCGTTGAAGGAGAATAAGCATCAGTAAATATAATCATTGCACAGTAGCCAACTGTAATGTGCAAATGTATAGGTGTGAAGGATTTTATTACCCCAGAAAAGAGCTGGAGTAAATGATTTTATGACAGCTCTTCCTTGTTCAACCCTGGGAAATATGAAGAGGATAGCAAGCATCAGGCTGACATCTCGTTTGCTGTGTATTGTTGGGAGTGTTAAAATGGAGGTTCCTGACCACCTAAGTTGTAGGATAGGCTAGGGATACAGCAGTACATGTATTTTGCTCTCAAATTAGTAGACACAGAATACGTGATCAAATTAAAGGCTGTGGGCCAGGTGTGGTGTCTCACACCTATAATCCCAGCATTTAGGGAGACCAAAGAGGAAGGATTGCTTGAGCCTAGGAGTTCAAGACCAGGCTACGAAACATAGCAAGACCTCATCTCTACAAAGACTTATCTGTGTGTGGTGGCAATGCCTATAAGTCCCAGTTACTCAGAATGCTGAGGCGGAAGGATTGCGTAAGCCCAGGAGGTCAAGGCTGTGGTGAGCCTTGATCATGCCATTGCACTCCAGCCTGGGCAACAGAGTGAGACCCCCAACTCAAAAAAAAAAAAAAAAGGTCATAACTCTTCTGGCACTGTATTCTAAATTCTTTCCATAGACATCTCTCAAATGGTACAGATAGGAAGTTCTGTGAAATTCTGCCTAAGACCTGGAAGCCCTATAGGAATTTAATGCTCTCTCTTTACATTTTTAGGCAACCATTTTGCAAAAATCAATAATTTTATATATCAATCACTGCCAAAGATTTTTGGTTAAAGGTCATTGTTGAGTTAAAAGAAGTTTATGCCAGCAGAATGTTCTGAGTTTTTAAAAAATCCTGTCTGAGCAATAAAAGGATTTATTGACTGAGTAATAACTTATTTGGTTTTATGCTGTCACTTTTTACCTTGGTAGTGAAATCTTTAATCTTCAGCTTCATAAATCACTTTGTCTTTGAAAAAATTCTTTGTTTCACTTACAAAGAGTTCTCTTTTAAAGAAAACCGAAAGGCAGAGAAAGAGAGACCTAAAAATCTCTCCATCTGCTGCCAGATCTGTTGTTCTTGATCTTTCTGTTCCTGTTCACATATTCTCTCACCTCATGTTTTCACAGACCCATTTATTGCCTGGAAATGAACTTAATAATTTGTATTCAGAATGTTTTGACAGTTACTCTTCATGGACCAACCGAATTCCAAACAACATACCAACAACATATCTATAGATGCTCAGAGTTCAGAGTATGCAAGGACTAAGAAACAGATGTGATGTGGTCGTTTCTTCCCAATTAAAGGATTCATGTGCACAACTTTTGCACATCTCCATACATCTCATAAAAAGTACAAATGGGCTGGGCTCGGTGGCTCAGCCTGTAATCCCAGCACTTTGGGAGGCTGAGATGAGTGGATTGCCTGAGCCTGTGGGTTCAAGACCCACCCAGGTAACTTGTCGAGACCTCGTCTCTACAATAAATCAAAAATTAGCTGGGTGTGGTAGTGCATGCCTGTAGTTCCAGCTACTTGGAAGGCTGAGGCGGAAGGACTGCCGGAGCCCAGCAGGTTGAGGCTGTGGTGGCCAGGAGCATGCCACTGCACTCCAATCTGGGCAACAGAGTGAGACTCCAACTCAAATAAAAAAATATTTAATGATTTAGAGGGGCTACTTAATAGGAAAAAATAATCTTTTAAGTAAACAGAGACCCCATGTCCACATGTCCAGCCATACGAATAATAGAAACTCCACTATCTCCTACCAGCGAGAGCTATGAATGTGACTTAAGCAGGTCCCTGTCTGTGTCTCTTTTTTTATGATGAGTTGTATAATTATTTCATTATATATTTACAGGGTAATAATAAGAGAAATAAAATGCACAATAAATGTATTGCACTTGAATTATCCCAAAACTACCACACACCACCACCAGTCCATGGAAAAATGATCTTTCATGAAACCGGTCTTTGATGCCAAAAAGGTTGGGGACTGCTGTGTTAAGGCAATGTATGGTGTTAGAGTAATTTGCAGCTGCATATTAACTGCATCAGGCAGCAGCAGCAAGTAATAATGCCTCTGAGACTAAAGTAGGCATTTAGGCTTAGAGGGTCAAATTTGGTCTGATCATTTCATTTAGCAGACAAGCCTATTGGGAACTTAGCAGACAAGCCTATTGGGAACTTAGAAACATTTGCCTGACAAAGTCCCAGGAAGGTTTCCTATGGAAACTTGGCGCACAGATTCTAGCAATGCTGAGGAGACATGCCCCATAAATAGACATGATAGGGCTGTGGTTGAGAAGTGTCACATTGCTACAAGACTCACAGGCAATGGAATAGATTAGAGACATGCACACAGACCTAAGCGTTTGTCTACTTTTGCCCCTCACATCCTTTTTCCTTCTGTGTGCTCCTTATGTTCTAGAAGATGAATATGAATGAGCTGCATCAACCTGGCTCCCTTGCTCTGTGGCTTCCTGTAGGGTTCAGCCAAGGGAGGCATCAGCAGGAGGCCTGAGTGTGGGACACTGCCTCATGGGAGTGGCTAGCTATGTGTATAGCAGTTTAGGGTCCTAGAAAGACAAAACTGGAGGCTAGTGAGGAGGAGTAGAGGAATCCGAGGTGGAGGGACCTCTAGGAGTACACAGAGTGTGAAGAAAGTTATATGCCATGTAGATGTCTGCGAGGTAGCATCTGCTGCAGAGAGGGTCTCACTGCAGGAAAGGAAGTGGAAAGTCCTCTGGATGTCAGACAGCCTCTTTCCCAACCTCTCCGGTGCTGGCTCAGTGGGACCAGGTGAAAAGGTCGAGGTGGCAAGGATGAAGGCTGCATGTGGCTCAGCAACTGGGTTTTCTCCCTTCATGACTGACAGCCACTGCTGATGCTGGGAGCTCAGGTGGCCAACAGAGGTCATCCCCAGCCCCCAGTGTGGAACCATTCCCCAGGAGTGGGCTTGATTATACATTTGAATTACCGAATGGAGACTGTATGGTTTTTCTGTTTTGTTTTGTTTTGTTTGAGTTGGAGTCTCACTCTGTCACCCAGACTGGAGTGCAGTGGCACACTCCCAGTCACCGCAGTCTCGACCTGCTGGGCTCTGGCGATCCTTCCGTCTCAGCCTTCCAAGTAGCTAGAACTACAGGCACACGCCATCATGCCCAGCTAATTTTTTTTTTATTTATTGTAGAGATGAGGGCTCACCAAGTTGCCCAGGCGGGTCTGGAACCCGCGGGCTCAGGCAATCCACTCACCTCAGCCTCCCAAAGGCGCGGGATTATAGGCTGAGCCACCGAGCCCGGCTGAGACTGTGTTTTGTTACTTAAAGAGATCATGGAACTTTTTTTAA